GGCACTGGGGCGTGACTAGTGCGTCGTGCGCGTGGCGACTGCTAATACACTTATTGGCGGAGCGCTACGAATGCGTGGCGCGCCGTACAGATCGGAAGTAAAGTGCTCGGTGGTGGTGGTGGTTGTGCGGTAGTGTGTGGTCCTCGGCCAGGCGTGCAGTACGCTATACCCGCGTGGACTCGTAAAAGGCTTTCTCTGCGCCCACAAGAGTTGCACGCCGATGTGCTCGCCGAGGCTTTTGTGTGAGCCCGCGCGCGCGGCAACTCGGCACCACGGTACTCTCGCAGAGTTTTACAGTGCCTAGTGTAACTAACAGCACAGCCCCCAGTGGCGCCGGCACTTTGGCGCGCAGGTAAGCGGTGCGCGCTGGCGCCGCCACCGCCGCGCTGTGGGGCCCGAGCCCGGCCCGGAGGAGTGAGAGCGGGGATTACTGGAAGACAATTGAGGCAGAGCAGCGGCAGACACGAGCAGACGCTTGACGGACGGCTTGGTTTCGCAAATACATTGGGCTGCTCTTCTTGCTCTCGCGTGCCCCCGCGGCACCCGCGGCACTCGCGGCCCTGCTCGTGGCAACCGTGGCCTCCCGTGGGTCAGCGGAGGGCACGCGGATAGAGGCGGGTGCAACTCGATCGTGGAGGGAGTCGAGTACAACTGACATCTTTTCCCAACAAAAGCAATCCCCAAATTCCCCAAAACTCTTGGATCTTGCACAAAATTTTGTAAAAGAGAAAAATAAATTAAAAATTTAGAAGATTTTTTTAGTTTTTCCTGGAGTCTCCATAGACTGCAGGATTCAGAAAGAAAGCTCTGATTGGGGATCATCCAGAGAGTACGTCCGTTTTTACTTAGATTCATTCGGCACATTACGGACGCTCGGCGCCTGCGAGGCTCGGGGTACGCCGGCCCGCAGTACGCGCATGCGCTGCACACAAGATGTTGCCTACCTATCAGGCGCTACGACGGCTTACACGGGCGAAACTTGGCAGTTTCGTGACGGCGAACGACTGACGCACTTTCTGGATGATCCTTGAGCCGAGGATATGTGCTGGCATACAGCAGGTTCAATTCTTCTTCTCTACCATGAAGTACTCTCATTAGCAATCGTGAGAATAGGGAACGGATGCCATTACTAGTGCGTGTGTGTTCTTCGTCTGGTTCGCCGGGCGGGCGGGGCGGGCCGGGGTGCCATGGACAATAGACCAGGACGTGTGGTAAATAATCTTCTCTCCTCCTTCCTCGATCGTCTGTCTTCTGCTCTCTCTCTTTCTCTGCGATAATTAGGATGAGGGGCGAGTGGAGCACACAGCTTCCTGGCATGTTTTACCACCGCGACTTCCGCACGCATCCACATACTAGTTCACTCGTGCACACACACACACACACCGCTCGTTACTCCTCTGTCTGCCCCCGTGCCGCCGTCAAGGGGCACTTCACCAAATACAATCAATGCACACCCTCCAAATATTTTTAAAAAATCCAGAAAAAAAATTTTTAAAAAAAGGATAAGAAAAAACTTTAGCAAAAGAAAAAAACAGCGAAAAATCAGGGAAAAATTAGGAAAATAACAGGGAAAATCAGGAAAAATCTGAGAGAAACAAGAAACATTGGAGTACACATGAATTTATCCGCACCGGAGCACGATGGGGAACGAGTGGAGGCGGAGGCGAAGAGGGGCGGACCGGGATGTCTGCGCAGGGATGCATCAAGGATGCAGTTAGCTAAACTGTGAAATCTGATAAGCGGATCGCGAGCGTAATGCCCCCTCCGGGTCCCCCTCCGGGTTCCTCCGGCCGGCTCGGCTCCGGCTCGGCTCCAGGCTCGGCCCCGGCCCGCCAGGCGGCGCCGCCGCGTGTCCGCGTCTCTTTCCTGGCTGGACGGCATCCATTGCAATCGGCCTGACCTGGTCCACAATCACATCTCTGCGCCTGCCCGCGCTGCAGGCCGCTCAGCTGCTGCTCAACTGTGGTCGGTCGGTCGGTCTGACCGACTTTCTATCACACTGAATACACCTTGCGGTAGTGAGTGCTGTACGCGCCGCACGCGGGGCGGGGCGGGAGGGGTGTGGCGGGGTGTAGCGAGGCGGGTAGGCGGGCTGCCGCGGCTTGTAAAACGCCGCGCCGGCGGCGTAACACCAGCCCTTCCCTTTCTTCA